GCTTTTGAATGTTAAACTAACCTTGCATTTGTGAGATAAACCCTGCTTGGTCGTGATGTAGTACCCTTTTTATGCATTGCTGGATTCAATTTGCTAATATTTAGTTAGGGATTTTTGCATCTATATTAATGAGGGATACTGGTCTATAGTCTTCTTGTAATGTCTTTGTTTGGTTTTAGTGTCACGGCAATTGCTGGCCTCACAGATTATGTGAGGGGAGCAGGGAATGCAGAGTATTCCCTCCTTTTTATTTTCTGGAAGAATGTGTAGAATTGGCATTATTTCTTCCTTATGTGTTTCATAAAATTTACCATAAAATTTGTTTCTACTGATATTGCTCCTGGTTGTGGGAGTATTTTCCTACTTATTTGCACACCTGGTAATATTGACTGGATGCCGTACACTGTGAATGTTATATTGTTAGGTGCTGGATTTTACTGTATTCCTTTAACTATTGTTGCTCTTTGTTCTGGGACGCAGTTAAGTTACATGGAATCACTTGATCCTCCTGAGACTTTTTAAGCCCTTTTAGGGCAAGGAGAGAACAGCCTTTAGTGTAGGGCTACTCTGACCCAGGAGGTCTCTACCCAATGTTCCACATCTGGCTGAAGAGAACACAAACTAGGCATGGCCCTAGGTTTCAAGAATGTTCTACCTGCTCCTTTCTGGTGGTCCTCTCCTGGCCTCAGGAGTTTCCTCAAATGCATGCATAGATCAGTAAGCAGCCAAAGCCCTGGAGGCCCTTCTGCAGATCTCTAGAGTTCTTCTGTGCATCTTACTCCTCTCCAGTATTTTGCCCAGTAAATTCTAGCCATCTTGGCCTCCCAGGCTTCCAATCTGTCTCCTGGTGAGAGCACCAGGATTTGCTGGGCTCCCCTCCCTGCACTGGGGCTTGGAAACCCTGAGCTTGGACACTTAGGGTGCACTTTGTTTGTTTCCCTTCTCTCAAGGATCACTGTCTGTCCTGTGCAGCCTGTTGTCCAATGCCTGAAAATAAGCATTTCTTACATTTTTGTCTGGTTTTATAGTTGTTTATAGCAGGAGGATACCTGGTTCCAATTACTATCATGGCCTGAAGTTAAAGTTCCCATAGCATTTTTTTTTTTTTTTGGCGGGGGGGAAGATCAGCCCTGAGCTAACATCCATGCCAATCCTCCTCTTTTTGCTGAGGAAGACTGGCCCTGAGCTAACATCTATTGCCAATCTTCCTTCTTTTTTTTCCCTTTTTTTCCCCAAAGCCCCAGTAGATGGTTGTATGTTGTAGCTGCACATCCTTCTAGTTGCTGTATGTGGAATGCCGCCTCAGCATGGCCGGACAAGTGGTGCATCAGTGAGCGCCCAGGATCCGAACCCGGGCCGCCAGTAGCAGAGCATGTGCACTTAACTGCTAAGCCACAGGGCCAGACCCTCCCATAGCATTTTGTTGTCAGTTCTCATATGGTACCATCTGTCCTTTTTTGGTATTTTTTTTTTTTGCATCATTCATTTCCCTCACTAGATTGCAAGCTCTTGGAGACCAGGAACTAGGTCCTGTTTATGGACAATACACTGTATACAGCAGCCCCTAGAGAAGTCCAGTGAATAAAGAATGGGCAGACTGAGGTTGAGAAGAGAAATGAGATATAAAGCCTCCACTAGAGCTAAGTCTGAGGACATTCTCTCCAAATGTGAAACATGTTTCTCTAGTCATGTGCTGTAACGTCCTAATATTCAGATTCTCCGGCAGGACCACAACTGCCAGAAACCTCCTTGCCAATCTCCTTGGCCAGTGCCACTCTGACAACCCAGGTTCTTGAACTCTGGACAATTCTCATCAGGCCTCCCCATTGCAGAGTTAAGAAATGGCCCTAATCAGGCAGTGTTAATCCTCTAAGGCTACAGCTTCACCATTTGCAATGAATACTTTGGTCCTAAAACTCTAAGAGGGAAAAACAGCATTCCCAAAAGAGCACCGACTTGAGTTGGAAAGACCTGCAATCTGAATCCCAGGTGTGTGGTGGAAGCTTGGACAAGTTGCTCCACCCACCTGAGATTTAGTTTCCTTATAAAATGAGGATAATATGTAATACCATCTACATATGACGAGAACTCAGCACATAATCAACACTTAATAAATCATAGTCAGTATTGTAGCTTAATTGGGATCCTTCAAGCAAGGATAGAGATCAGGCAAAATGTATGATGACCAATCTGTGGAAAAAATTAGTGGCCACCTGGTAACATTGCACCTAGGGGAGAACATTTACTTGGAGGCCAACCAGTGTGCAAATATGTACTGGGCAGGATACTTCTGTCTAATAATTATAAACCACAGGCTGAGAAATGACAAACAATTTATTTTCCAGAGTACTGGCTGACTCTTCTAGAGGTATACCTCTATGTCTGTGCCTCGGACACAGGGAACCACAATCATATATAGATGCTAAAAAAAGTTGGTAGGTAGAGGGGCACCTAAGTTGGCAGAAAGGAGAGAATGAATGTATGTTTTGTGGAAAAAGTGAGGGCAAATGAGCATAAAAAGCAGTGAGAAAACGAGTGGTCTCCAAGCTCACACAAGATGTTAATGGAATTTTTCAAACTGCTAGGTCTCTTTCTTAATAGGAATTTATCAGAACTTTCATAACATGTAGCTTAAAGCTCAGAACTTTGAAAAAATTGAGACTTAAAAGAAAGCCATCAAAATATTTTAAAGAGTAAATATGAAAAGGTTCAAAGAAAGTTTAAAGAACAAATATTTTTTAGCTCAAAGAAGAGAAGATTCAGGAATAGCTAGATGACTCTCTGCAAGAGAAAGGATTATGTAAACAAAAGGTGACCATCTGTTCTCTATCTCCAGTGCTGAATAAAATGAAAGGAAATGGACTCAGTTGTAGTGGAAGAGGATTATTCCAACATTCTTTTTTTTTTTTTTTTTAAAGATTTTATTTATTTATTTTTTTCCCCCCAAAGCCCAGTAGGCGGCTGCATGTCACAGCTGCACATCCCTCCAGCCGCTGCATGCGAGACGCGGCCCCAGCGTGGCCGGAGAAGCGGTGCGTCAGTGCGCGCCCGGGATGCGAACCCGGGCCGCCAGCAGCGGAGCGCACGCACTCAACCGCCAGGCCACGGGGCCGGCCCCCAACATTCTAATAGCTATTAAAAATAGAAACAATTTGCTAAGGGACATCATGGAATTTCTTTCCCTGGAAATCTTCAAAAATAGATTAGATATCCACTTTTCTCAGTATAATAGAGGTATCGTGCTCCTGAGGCGCATCTGTCGAGTGTGTAAGATACTCCGCTATGCTATGTTCTTACTCAGTGTCCACTAAGGACATAATCAACAAGGAGTTCAAGTTCTCTCTTAAACAGACTGGAGGTGAGCAGAGAGTGACGACTAGTCTCGACGGGAGACCACAAATCTGTTTTCGCTTTGGTTTTTTGTAGAAAGGGCCATGTGCAGTCCTAGGGTGCTGGTTACCTGGAGTGTACAGATACGTGGAGGGGGGAAAGATAGTAATTGGCCTGGCTTGCAGAGGTGTGATAGGTTACAGGTGTGCTTACAGAAACAATGAAAAGTTTTTCTCTACAAGGTGACAAATAGAACACTGGACTATTACAGGCAGAAAACAATTGAATTTCCCAGTTGTCTATGAAAAACAAAATCTGCTGAACCTAAAGCTACACTGATTTGAAGCCCATTACTGTCTTGTCCCAGACAAACAGAACTGGGCACTTTGTTCTACAAGCCCACGACAAAGCAACAACTAGGAGTTTCTCTTCTTCCTGGCACTAGCAAAGGCAACAATTTGCTTAAAGAATAAGAAATAGGCAAAAGTACTGAATTCTCCAGTTTCCACGATTCCACGAAAATCCCTATAAGGCTGTTCTAAACATTGGATACAATCCTACTGAGTGAACAATCTGCACTCTGGATTCAAGGCACAGAACTTCAGGCGGCAACCAACAGCACAGCAGGGCGGTGGAGGGTTACAGAACTAGGACACGTGGCCCTGATCTTCAATGGGACATGGGTACAGCTGAACCTCTAGAAGAAGCAATTCCCAAGGGAGCATTAAATACAGGATATGCTCTGATGGGACACGAATTCCTCAGCTGCATTTCTAGTAGTCATCAAAACTTTATGGTAAACCATCTCACAATGATGCCCACCTGGAGTACACGCTCCATTATGGAGCCCTAGCAAAATCCAAAAGCCCCCAAAACAAGGCTTGTGTTGTACCATATGCTCCAGCAGCAGAGAGTCTGTGACGACCCACTCCTCGTTGTTGAAAATCACTGCCCAAACCACAGTTCTGAATGTGACAGAGAGCTGGCATGCCTCAAGTGTGCTGGTGCAAAAAAAGGGTTGAGAACCAGCATTATCTACAGAATTTCTATAGAGGGGCAGAAATCAGGTTAGATAAGGATGCCAGAGGGACCTTTTTTGAGGCTGTGTTTGCACAGCAAATCTACAAATATATAAAAATACCAAAGTTTCCTAAAGATGTTTTATTCACACTTTAAATGAGACTGAGAAAATGTCACCAACAGTGAAGATTATTGTTAGGGTACCTTGGGAGTATTGATGGAGACATGGGGGGGGAGGGGGGATGCCAAAGCCACCTTTGAGAACTGGTGGCTCTGATCTCCAATCCTGTGATTGGCTGGAATGAGGAGTGCAATCTGCAGCCTTGGATGGAGCTTCTTTTGGTGCAGAACTAAACGGTCCTCATCATTATCAAATAAACAACTCTAACATCACCAGTGCTGCCGCCCAGACACCCCAGATGGTAGCTTAATCGCCTGAAAGAATTAATAGTGCACCTCTAAGCACATTATTCACCCAGAGAATAGTTTAGGCAATGGAAAGAATCTGGCCCATTATACCCCACACAATTGCTAAATAATATGCAATCATAGAAATGAAGCATGGCATATGGTAATCGCTCTACTAAATTGAGATTCATTGTAATAAAAGTGCTGTTCAAAACCCTTATGTAGAAATTTGAAAGGCATACCTTTCTTTTCTGGAAGAAACATTACAATAAGACAAGCCAGTCCTCCTAGGCACAGAAATGCTGCTAATGTCCGCTTCCGACCAAACCTAAATAATAGGAAGAAATTACACATTTCTCGAGAATCCTGTAAGTCTGCTTCTTCCCCCAACGTTCCTTTTTAAATGTCCTCAGTTTCATTATGTATGCTCATCTTTTCTTAAGGAGTGGGTGGCAAATGTGACTGACCAGAACATAAAATAAATAACCATCATAAAACAAAGGAAAGCTTGCTGGATGGTAGGATAAAAGGATATGTGCAGGAAAAGAACATAGCATCATTCTATCTATTTCTGTGAGTGTTTACTATGTCCCAGGCACTGCTTTAAATGCTTTCTATCTAATATCTTACTTAATCCTAATAATAGACCATAAGGCATGTACTGTTATAGTCTCCATCTTCTAGAGAATGAAACTGAAACATGGAGAATGAAACTAGCTCATTTCATTTTCTGGTTACTTGAATCTTAAGCAGTTAAAATTTAAAAACTGTCAAACAAGCCTCTCTCTCTCTTAAAAACACAAACAGATGGGGCCCGCCCCGTGGCATAGTGGTTAAGTTTGTGCGCTCTGCTGCAGCAGCCCAGGGTTCACAGGTTCGGATCTCAGCCATCGTGGATCTATGCACCGCTTATCAAGCCATGCTGTGGTAGGCATCCCACATATAAAGTAGAGGGAGATGGGCACAGATGTTAGCCCAAAGCCAATCTTCTTCAGCAAAATGAGGAGGATTGGCAACAGATGTTAGCTCAGGGCTAATCTTCTTCATCAAAAAAAAATATATATATACAAACAGAAAAAAATTTCTTGTTAGTATGTTAGAATTAAGTGAAATTTACTGCACATTTTATTGGGAGAAATAATTTTCAAATAAGAGCTGTAGGCTTGGAAGAAAGTTATTAACATTATTAAGCCTCCATTTCCTAGAGGCCTGCAACCTGCTAGGTCCTCTGTTCGGCACTTCAATATGACTTGTAATTTTTATAACAGTTTTGCCAGGGGAATTTTATAATCCCTAGTTTAAGGATAAGTACATGGAGGCTTAGAGAGGTAACTTGTCAAAGTGATAAAACTAACACGTGGCTGAGACTAGACGTGAGGTCAGGTCTGCCTGATCCCAAAGGTGGCGTTCCTTCCCTCTGCTTCAGATTTTAATCCTGACTCTAGTGGTGGTGGCGGGGAACAGGAAAGGACGTAAGTCTCCAGGTCGTTGTGCTTCATCTAATAGTATCGGATGGCTGTCAGGTGACAGGTACCATGCTAGGCAGGCACTAGGGATGCAAGGACATACAGGACACTCCCACGGACAGCATCCTTCTAACATGTTACGTGGTCATCAGAGGTGTGCACAGGAAGCAGTAATAGCACAAATGAGGGGCGTGTGGCACATTGGGGATGTTTTCGACAGATTTCTGAATATGCTGACTCAGCTCTTGGACCGTGATGAGAACAAGCTCAGTCACTAATAGAGGGGTCAGCAGAGGCAACTGGGACCACACCCAGAGAAAAGCCTTCGATTTAAAGGAAGCCAAACCTGCCCTTCAAAATGCCCCGAGCTCAATATCCATGACAACAGCCATCAAGAGCAACGCTAAAGGAATGCTGTTTTTGTTATAATGATGATTTCTGGAGAATGAGAAATAGCACAATCCAACCAATTTCTAGCTCACCAAGAAGGGGATTTTTAGTTGCCTTGGTCAGGGGCTCAATAACAGAAGCGATCTGAGAAAACTGAGGAAAGCGGGTTCTATAAAAGAACTTTTACAAAGTATTTCAAAACTGTGCTCATTGACAATGCAAAGCAAAAGCAGGATATATTCTCCTCAATGAAGTCAAGTGGATCTTTAGAGGTAAGAAAAGTATTCCCAGTTCCTCCACTTCTTTGTCTTGTGCTAGAACTTCTAAATGATAGTGATTGGGTGGGTGGAGTTCTGTCTACACAGAGCCAATAATCCTATCTGTCGGGATTAACAAATTACACAGAGATTACTCAAAAACCTTCAGGTGGTAATTAATGCCTTTTAATACTGGATTGAAAACCTACATAAAAACTCGTAAACGTGAAACCCAAGAAGTACTGTATTAAAAAATAAATTCTAACTGTATTTGCCTGAAAATAATTCCAATCACCGTGGAGTAATTAGCAGATACCACATATGGACAGAGACAATAATATTTAGGTGTTTATGTGTATAAGAGTGTGTGTGTGTGTATTCCATATGGTGCACTTCATATTCATCTATACTCACCATTTTTGGTTAATCAAGTAGATGCAGAGAGGGTAGGACGGAATTTCTACGAGGCCAGACAGGGCCAGGTTGGCATAAATATTTCCACCTAGATCCCCTGCACTCAACGTTAGACCATAATAGACCAAGCTGCACACAAACCTGCAATTAGTGGTAAAGACAAGAAGGACAACAGAAAAAAGCACATAAGAATTTGCCAAAGAAGATTCAAATACTGGTCCAATATAATGCGATCTGTCTCAACCAATAAGCTTGGCTCTCTCACTAACATTCCTATCCTAATCTAAATTTCTATACTAGGAAAAAACAAAAAACAAAGGGGCCTTGGAAATGATTCACCTAGATGCCATATAAAGCAGAAGAGTGGCCAGCCGCTGAAAGAGGGAAGACACTGTTTGTGCTTTCATCATTTCTGCATTTAATAGAAGACAATGACTCTATTCTTACTTTATTTAATCCCACAATTTACAGAACACTTGCCTTAGGCAACTGTTGTGATATTATCTAGAAAAGAACTCCCATGGAGAAAACCAACAGAGGATGGTGCTGAGAACGCGGGCCTGAGAAGTGACTGGATCGTCAGTGGGTCACCTGCAGGCCAGAAATGACTGGCATTCCAACCCCCAGCCAAGTTCTCAACCCCATCCAGCATTCAGCAGGTGCATAGGCTGCAGACACCTGGAACGGGAAAGACAAGACAAGGGTTGTGGCAGAGGCAGGACCCTCTAGAGGGATCAATTGGGGAAGGGCTCTTTGAAAAGCCATTAATTGATTTAGGCATGTTGCTGAAAATTTAGGGAGCGCCTCCTGGGCAGCAGGCACTGTGCTGGGCCCACCTCCTGCAGTCTGGGAACTACGGAGCCCAGGAACTGAAACAAAGCGCCTCCTGAAGCTCCAAGGGAGGGCTTCCTCAAGCAGAGGGAAGGGAGTAATGGGAACTTTTGTGCCTAGAAAACTGCATTATAAAACCAAAATAAAACAGAACCAAAAAAATAAAGCCCTGAAACTAGGCTTTACTAGCGTACGAATACATTTGGTAAACCTCTATAAACTTGTAAATTTCTATACAAACAGTAAAACACGTGGGCTTTGGAAGTTCGCCAGTTTTTATGTTTTTGCAATTCACTTGGACAAGTGTTTATTATGGGGAAGTTTCCATTTGCTTCCCTTAGAAAAAGTCCAATGAGCTGTGGCTATGATAAGATCAAACAGGAAAGGGAAAGCTTCATTTCCATCTCTGCCAAAAGGGAGAAGTGGGCCAAGTGCCCTGGGCTATTGAGAATGGGCTACAGTAACCAAGGAAGGGATGGGGAGGAGGGGAGAGGGACGCCTGGAGCTGGACCGCTTAGTGTTCATCCCTCTCTGGCAGATGAGCCAGGGGCAGTAGCTACTTCCCATTACTTCTTATTGGGTGGAGCTGTCACTCATATACTGAGGACAATGAGCAGCGTTGTAGTGAGGACATCACATGTAAGGATGCAAGGTGACACAGAGTTGTCTATTTTCCCTGTCCTCTAGCACCTTGCCTGTAAGCAGCAGGCTAAACAAATTTAAACCCATGCAGTTTTCTAAAATATTTTTAAAATCCTTTTTACCTGCAGTAGCGACTTCTTCTTACAGAATGCTATTCCTAATGTGTTGTATATGTCAGTGTATGTCTACTCTGCATTTAAAATGGAAATCCCAGTGAAGTAATTACAGACAATAGGTATGAAAACACACATACCTATTTAAACCAAGTTGTGATGGTATCAAGTTGGGCACAAACAAAAAAGCCAGTTTAGGACACTAGAGGAATTTAGTTACCAGCTGGTGGTTAGAGAGAAAGGGGAGAGTGTGGGCAAGGAAGGCCAATGGTCCCAAGGTAGGGATTCTGCTTGCAAGTTTCCTTGATGGCAGAGCTCATCATTGGGATGCATAATTACAACTATTAAAATCATTTCAATCCTCTTTATGGGACCCAAACAAAATTTAAAATGCTTGCGTAATATTTAACAGTATATTTAGGGCATCAAAGAACTATTTAAAAAGGCACTACTGTGAGAAATAACCAAAGGAACAGATGTTAAACACAGAGGTATAATTTATTCCCCAGTTAAGGCTTTCTTCAATGACAAATCCACAAAAAAGACTGTAGAATTTTATAGCATCTTCAAAAAGAACGGCAGTATGTGGAATGACATTGTCTCTATTACTGTGTGTTTTAACATTCTGAACCCAGGGGGAACAAGTTTATTTGAGAAGAGCTCCTTTGGCTGTATGAGATATAAAATAACCAGGGACATTCTCCCTGGCTCTAAGTCTAGTTTGTTCATCTGTTTTTTATCCCCTGAAGGCCAGAACCCAAAAGTTAATATGCCTCAAAAAAATAAAAAACTTAAAAACAAGAAGTAAATAATATCTAAGAAGTAGGTGCTTCCTCCAAGGTAGAGGGTTTGACTGACTGCCTATATGACGTGCAATTGCAGAGTTTTATGGAGTCCTAAGTACCTGAACATACTTTGTAAGTATTTAATGGACAATAGGTAGAACCTCAAATTAGTAGCTCCAATGCTGTGTTGTCAAGTTTGGCTTTAAAGGCTCCCTTAATCTCCATGCCTCCAAGCTTGTGCCCTTCGTTCAACATTTATTATGCATCTGTGACATTCCAGTACTGCTGGCTCTGTAGGGAAGGCGGCAGTTGGTGTGACTCGCCCCCTGACCATACAGGTGGCAGCCAGTGCTTGGATGGGTAGGAAAAGAGAATCATGATATAGAAAAATATCTTCACAGCTTCTTATTCTCAATCTACTGCTCTTTTTAGCTTTATCTATAAGATCACTTTCATATAAAATTACTCTCCTTTATCCCCACATGAAAATGTAGGTTTCCATGCAGGCTTCATGGCAAATACATACAAACCAACCACAGCACAACAGTCCTTTAGGCCAGTAAATATGATGTTCACACCCAATACTGGACCAAATAACATCTACGGCACCCTAGCAGAATGTACAATATTAAAACACATGTACACTTCGCAAATTGTATGTATTACCCATCCATTTCTCCCCTTTCCACAACTTTATTATTTAAATGGCACCATCTTGAACCTTTCAGTGCAATTTACATTAATGCTGAGAGTGTTCAAGCAGGTTGGAATAAGCTAAACTAGAAAACCAGGTTCAGAGAGTGCTAATCCATTCATTCACTGATTTGCATGTGCAGCTTTGAGTCCATCACTTCACACTCCCAGGATCCTATTTGTACAAAGGATGACGTTCAGCCCACCCCAGTGAGTGAGTGAGCGGGAATGCCATGCAAAACGAGGCACAGGGCATTGCAATTAGAATGCGCTGTCCAACTGCTTGACGCAAAAACCAAAGGTAGGTTTATTTTTAAAGTCCTATTTAGAAACGCTTCTGTTTCTGGTATGCTTGCTTGCTTTCCTTTTTGGGGTGGGGGGACTTAAATATGTACATGAAATACCTCATGAGCAAAGATGTGTTTCTGATGTCTACTTACTCAAGTTCAGTAAACCTGCCATCAGGCACCATCATTTCCTCCTTGAGAGGGAGGGTACTGTGAAAGCAGAGGCGAGCACAACACCCACCCTAAGGGACGGGGGCCTTGTTTTTGTTTAAACAACCTCATGCTGACAAAAGAGGTAAAATTTTCTGTAACCCAGAAGAAGGAACATATTATCAATAGACTTTCAGCAATCTGAGTTGAAGATCAACAAAACAGCCCTTAGCTATAATTACCAGATGAACATCAGGGTCAGAGTGTGCCCCAAGAGGATCCGGTAACGGAACAGGTCCAGGAAACTTCCAGTCTCCTTGTAGCTCCTGTTGGCCGGATGTGTTAGTGAGAACGTACACTTGAACTTGCGGTTCCTCTTGGCGATGAGGTACAGAGCCGCTTCAGCCTCACTCAGTCGACCCTGGGAGTATAACCAACGAGGTGATTCAGGAATGAATCTGAAAGAGACGTCATTAAAGGCTGTATATTCATATAGGTACGTGTGCACAGGAAGGAGACAATTCACCTACACAGAACGTGGATTCCCTTGCCACAACTGGATTCCATATGAGGTTTAAAACTTGACTCTCCCAAACACATATGGAGGAGAGAGAGGGGGCTACTTTCAACAGCATGCCAATGTTCAATGGCGGCCTACTTTAGGAATGGAAACCGAGAACATGCTTCCAAGATAGCAGTGAAAAAGGTAAACAGCCGGCATTTACTTGTAGGCAAATTCTAATATATGAATGGCAAGTTAAGTTTATAATACTGAATAATACAAATTCTTCATAAAGCGTGGGTCAGAATCGGCTCTAAATCACAGCCAAGTGTTGTTCAAGTAATACTGCAGAGATAGTAGGTTTTTCAAGTTCTGAAAAAGCCTCACAAAGAAGATAAAAATCTTTATCATCTCATCAGAAAAAATAAATTTTGAAAAAGTGTTTTTATCATAGTGATGTGTTTTTAAGAAGGCAGAGATTATTCTAAGACTACACATAAAAATTAAACAGCGTTTATCACATCTTAGCTACTTTTGAGCATTCACTGCTTCAAAATACTTGACTCAGCTGACATACTGGCTTTAATACAACCTGAGGATATTTCCTGATCTCCCAAGACCTTAAAGAATAAAGGTTATTTTCTGGTTAACTTTCAGTTACAAAACATTAGTTTCTACTATAACTACAAACTATTGAACATTTAAATTACCACTGATATCTCCAACAGTTTCAAGACTTAGATATTGTGTATCTTTTCTCCTCTTTACAGTTATTCTCTTTATAGTTCTCCTCTTTACTTTTAGAGGACTTTTCAAAGACGAAACTGTGGCAGGAACATGGAAGCCTTGTTTACTAAATCCAACATCAAGTACCTTTTGATCTAATTTGACATTATTTGCCGAAACTTGTATAAATAATATTGGCTATTTACGGTGCCTTTTAGAACTTGCCAAGCCTTTCAGTAAGGATAGTGAATGGGCAACAAACACCACCAAATCTGGAACCTCATAGACAGCGAGTCCGTCAGTAACCATGTACTGAGCACTTTCATTTTGTATCAAGCAATGTAGTAGGTGCTGAGAAACCACGGAAACAAAAAGGCAAGGATTTGCTAAGGGGTTTTGCTACCGGGGAGAGAAGATTCATGCACACCATTTGATTGTCAACAAAAGCAGGAACAAAGGCCTTCTACAACATCCTGAAAAATCCCTTCATTTACTTCTTCATTGCCATTTGATTATCATTACTGATACATGTAAATAATCAAGTAAAATATTGTTCTGTTGGAAGTTAGGTCTGCTGATCATCAGTTGGATCAACTGGCCCAATTCACAGGGCGTATATGAAGGACTATGTAAACTACTTGTCTAAGTCTAAATACAAAGAGAGAAAACATAAAAGAAGACTGCCATGATGAATATAGAGCGTATACTTGGGATAGAAAAATATGTCAGATACTAGAAAGTCTATCATAATAAAAATTAAAACTGAGGAGGACTGGGAAGAATGAAAAGGAACCAACAAGGACATAGGCAAAATATTAACAGTCATTATCTCGGGGTAATTTAAGTCATTTTCTCCCTCCTCTAAACTTCTCCGTGTTTTCAGAATTGTTTATATGCAATAAAAATTACTTTTAAAGCTTTACAAATCATTTTTAAAGATGATATTTGAGAGACATTCAGGATTTGGAAATTTGACACTGAGTTAATAAAACTATTTCTACTTGGGAAAGGGTTTATCTTGATTACGCCAACTTAGGACCTGATATTTCTCCACATTCTGAGAAGCCGATACGCTTACTTACACAAAGGCTCACGCAGCTGCCAAAGGACGGATTGGGGAATATGAGTTCCAACACATGAAGATTATGCATGCGAAAGAGTAAGACATGTTTTTAAAAGAAAAAGCAAGCCTTTGGACATGCGGCTCTCCCACAGTGCTGTGGTCACCTTCAGAAGCTACAGTGCTAACTTAACAATGTTGCCTCTGCTCAAAGTGTTCTGTGAATTTCTTAAAAGGGGGAAAACCTTTGTAAATTAAGGGTGCACTGATTTTTAAAATAAAACTATTCAAATTCAAGTATTCTAAAAATGAGGAATTTTTACACTAAGTAACAATGTTTCTAGTAAAACAAAGAAACAAGGTATGACTCTAAAATAATGAGACTTTTTATGTTGCTGATGGCTAATTCTGAAGGCTAATTCCAAATGGTTTTGTGCCAACATCTGTCCAATGCATATGAAGGATCTACTGTGTGGAAGGCCCTGGGCTTTGGTGCTGGGGAAAATGTAACCGAGCAAAGAGCCTGCTGCTGTCAGAGAGCTCTGGGTGTATAAAGAGGCTCCAGTGTGAGGCAGAAATAAGAGGACCACTCAAAGGGTACAGGTTAAGTGCTGTAGGATTCAGAAAAGAAATTGAACGACTTGTAGCTGGAGGTATGATCAGGAAAAGCTCGGAGGGCGTGGAATTAGAGGAAACTGGGAAGGCTATTAATTAAATAAAAGAGGAAATGGAGAGAAGGGCGTTGAAAGAGCAGGCACAGCATTGAATAGGAGGCTGAAAAGCAGACAAGCAGAAGGCGTATCCTGCGAACAACAGCAGCTTAGTGTGCCTGGAACACAGAGTACAGGAAACGGGACGGGAGAAAATTAGGAAGATAAATTGGAGGCCAACTGTGGGAAGGCTTACATTCCAGGCCTAACAGAATAAATATGTATTTCAATTTAATGTGCTCTTTTCTCTCTGTTTCCTATTTTTCATGACTTGAATTCACTTCCCAGTGAGTAGATGTCTCCACCTAGCACTATGTAGTAACAAACTCGGACCACACATTCAGAAAAAAAAAAGCTGAACAGCTCGTATCATTCATCAAAGTTACTCTACTACTGAAGGGGAGACGAGAGCCAGGTTGGATTGTGAAGTATGAGATTTATTAAATATTTAAAAAGAAAATTCATTTATCCACTAATATTTACATGAATGCTTATTAATTCAAGGAACTATACTAGGCACCCATTTATTCTAAAAATTTACAATACACAAGCTAATAAAATATTGTTAGTTTCCCTTTCTAATAAAATCACATCACTCCAATTCACATAACCAAATGCATTTAATAAATTTTGCCTTTTCTTTGTTGTTGTTGTTTTTTGGTGAAGAAGATTGGTCCTGAGCTAACATCCGTTGCCCATCTTCTTCTTTTTTGTATATGGGACGCTGCCACAGCATGGTTTGATAAGCGGTGCATAGGTCCGCGCCCGGGATCTGAACCTGGGAACCCTGGGCTGCCGAAGCGGAGCACACGAACTTAACCACTACGCCACCAGGCTGGCTGCTAAATTTTGCCTTTTTAAATATATGTTAACTATTTCTACTATATTCATTTTTGCACTTAATTTTCCTACTTTCAAAGAGAATATGAAAACAGATTTTAGTTCAATCTCCACTAAGTCTCAATTAGTAGAACCTGAATAAAGAACTACTAAATTTAAGATTTACCTGAATGAAAATTCTACTACAGGTATCCCTCTTTATGGCACAGAAGAAAGCTGGTACCATCCGCTGAAAATTTTATTTATCCTAAAGATTTTAATGATTAAAATTATAGGTCTGATACCTCAGGAGAAAAGCTTCCATAAGCACATTAAAACTTCAGGTCAGGGGCTGGCCCCATGGCCTCGTGGCTAAGTTCAGTGGGCCCTGCTTCAGGGGACTGGGTTTGGTTCCCAGGCACAAACCTACACCACTCGTCAGTGGCCATGCTGTGGCAGCGACCCACATACAAAAAGAGGAAGATTGGCAACAGATGTTAGCTCAGGGCAAATCTTCCTCAGCAAAAAAAAAAAAACTTCTGGTGAAAGAGCTCTAAGTTGGTGGCTCGCCTTATAGCATTTAGAGTGCCATGGTATGACACTCTGGGCAAGTTGTTTGTAGAACCCTGCCCTGACCAGGGAATCATCCTTTCACTGCTGTGAGCCCATGCACTCTAAGGATTTCTCCCATATCGAAGAATCTTCCACAGTCCACATTTAGAGCCCCTGAAATGATACTCATCTGTAGGATGAATAGATCGCTCTACAATATCATACCTCAGTTGCACACCTAGCACATGATCTGATCCAGCCTGAAGATCTTTAAGCCTGAGGCATTATGTTAGAAAAGAAATTGGTACCCTACATCAACAATTTGAAGGTTAAAATGCAGTCTACTGAGAGGTTACTTTAAACAAGGGATACCTGCATTTGAATTAATTAAGCATCTCTCTTCCCAGGAGCTGCCAAGCATTGGAGCACTTGAGGAATTTAGTTCTTCACCAAAGGCAGTTCAGGCAAACTCCTGAAAGGGAATAACGTCGCTCATTGACCCACATTCTCTTAAGAGATTCCTTCTACTTACTAAATTAAAACTCTAAGAGGAAGAATTACTTACAAAGATAAGAGAAAGACCACTGTTCCCTGCAGGTTAACCAGAATGGCGAGGGTCCTCCAGGAGCGGATGAAGTATCCCAACAGGGCATATTGGGCGATGCCAACTGCGAAGAAGAGGCCACCGATCGATCCTAAATCAGGGAAGAGAGACCTGTTACTGGAGCAAGCACCACCTGCAGCACGACTTCCAACCCAAGTCACAGAGACAATTCCTCCTTGTGAGATGTCAGCAGAAAAGGAAAACCTACACAAAAATCGAGCATCAGATGATAAAACTAGAAGAGATGCTGGCAAATCAGTGGAAAAGGAGGAAGGACAAATGAAAAATACAAACCACATGTGGTCAAGATGAATTTTAAGGGTCTGCCCAAATGCTCTCTGCATTGAATGTTGTACTGACATCTGCCTGAACCCATGGCTGAGGCCTGGTAATATTATTTGCTATGTGGCGATAAGGTTTTTAGGTCACGAGATTATTGCAATACTGGGACTTCGTCTTTATCAGAGATGTTGTCCAGTAAATCCTTATCTTAAATCACAACCTACTCCCCAATTCTCCCCATTCCCCTTCCCTGCTTAATCTATCACCATCACATATACGACATTTTATATTTATTTGTTTCTTGTCTGCTTCTCCCAAGTAGAAAGCTCCATGAAGCATGGATTTTTGTCAGCACTCTGCTAGAAAAAAACCAACCATGGGATTGTTAAGAATCCTATGTTTTTTTAAATAAATGCTAAGATGGGTTAAACCTGCTGGCTTGCCCAATATCTGGCTTGCAAATTTTATACCTCTGACACACTTCCTCTAACTGCTACTGTCAAATAGTGACAAGTAGTCACTATTTGTCAAGTAGTAGTAATAGCTACTATTTACTGAGCATGAAGCCTTTTACATACATTGTCCTATAAAGCAGGTACCATTAGCCATAAAGGAAACAAGGAGGTAGATCAGAAAGTGAGGGGCCGCTGTCTAAAGACACAGCCAGGACTCGTACCCCAGTCGGTCTGACTAGAGAGCCCACATTCTGTACCATCCCTCTCTCTCATCGCCCTTCTAGGGAAAGGCGATTTCAGAGGGCATCCCATAGCAACAGGACTTTGTTGATCTTGTTACAAGAATTTTCTACAACTTTCTACAACTATCTTGTAAAACAATGTTTTCTTTTATTCTTGTCCATAGATTATCAATCTGCGACAAAAAATAATGACGTGTATCTATCTGCCCTAGTGCGGAAAAGGGAGAACCAAAGGCAGAGCGGACGGGATGGCACGTGCAGCAAGGTCAGAACATGTGGTCCAATAAGTAAGGGAACGGGGACAGTGTGACTGCCCTGGAAATTTAAGGTAATCAATAGCTATTACAGGTTCATTATAGTGCTTCAAATAGCACCTGGTTTCCAAGAATAACGCTTTTCATCACTGGTCAGAACACATGTGAGCACTCAGTATCTACTGACAACAAAGAAGGCACAAACAAGAGAGCCCAGAGGATGGGACCACTTCAGAGGGACCAAGTTCAGACCCTAGTTCTGCCACACACTACTGCGTGACCTTGGGCAAATGACTAACTATCTCTGATCCTCAGTTTCCCCATCAGTGAAACAGAAATACTAATACCTACCTCGAAGGGTAGTTGTTAGTTTCAGATGAAATAATGCATGCTATACAAATGTTAGTTATACTGTCCTACTGTACTATGGGTATAGCTCTTTATATCTATCAACCTCCCAGAAAGCCATCTGGAGGCCTCCTGTGGTGAGTAGCTATTACAAAATATTGTCTACCTAGCACCCCTTTCTAATTCCAAGAACCTCTCTTCCATATTTTGGCAAGCTAACCTCCCCTTACTTCATCCCTGTGGTTCAAGTGGGGGCTGCCAATCACAGATCCCCTAGCTGCAGGGGTGACTCCAACTGGGCCAATCAGAGCTCTTCCTCAGGATTTTAAATACTGGACTTGATGGTGAAAGCTGAGAGCTGCTGGGCCCTAATTCCTGTCTGAACAAAGGAAGCTTCTCAGAGAGGATGGGGAACAGAGCTGAGAAGCATCTGACTTCCTGGTTCTGGGCATCTCTGAGGCCTGGCTGTTCTGTGGTTTGCTTCTGTTAACCAAGTGATTTTCCTTTATACATAAGCTTATCAGAGTTGAGTCTCTGTCACTTAAAATCAGTCAGACTTGGTATCAATTGATATGATGGACAAGAGGAAATGATTCAAAGGTTCTAGTTTGATGATCTTAAATACTGTGATATTACCATAGACGGGAAGGTCCCAGAGATGATGGAGATTTTAGGTGAAAGAAAGCAATACTTTTATTTGAGGGGCCAACAGACATTCATATCTAATATCCAGCAAGAAGCTGCACACGTATGCCTGGAAATGACAACAAGGGTAAGGTGTAGAGATGTAGATGTGGCAAGGCTCTGAGTTATTTGGTTAAAAAAATTAATAAAAAATGAACATGTCAAATCACCACTTTATGTATTATAATCCTGGAGTAACACAGGTGGTTTTATAACTGTTTATGGGCCTTTAGGTATTTATGCCTATTTTTAAGATTCCTTTTCTACTTATTTTTAATTAATTTCAACTCTGCTATTGCTGCTCAGTTTATACAAGTAAAACTAAATTTCAGCAGGTTAGAAAATAGCGTCTAGTGATGACTTCATTTTTATAAATGGCACCAACGATTCACCCAGTTTTCAAGCACAAGCCATGGAGTCTCCTTGGTTCCTCTTTCTCTCCCCCTCTCAGCTGATCCTTTAGCCAGTCATGTTCCCACCCAATCCAGCTCAAACGCACCCTCTCTCCTCCTCCTCCACTACCCTCACCTCGTCTAAGCCACTACCAGGTTTCAGGGGGCCAACCACAATAGCCTCCTGAATGACCCCTCAGCTCCTACCCTTGCTCCTCTACAATCCATTCTTCACACACTACCAGAGTAATCTTTCCGTGTAGAAGATCCTATTGCTCCTCTATTTAATTCACCTACTGGCTTCCCACTGCACTTCCCGTAAAACACAAATTCCTCATTTGGCCTATCATGGGCCGTACACAATCTAGTACTTCCAACTTGATCTCAGCCCAGGCTCCCCCTGACTCTCCACACTGCAGCCATGGGCATCTTTCTAGGCCCTCAAGGAAGCTCATTCCTGCCTTAGAGTCTTGGTCCTTGCCATTCTATCTGGCTGGAATGTTCTCTCAGAATTTCACACGCCTAGGTCTTCCTCCTCATCATTCATGTCTTAGATCAAACACCTACGTTGAGGTTTTCTCTAACTACCCTATTTAATGTAACTGTACCCCACAATTACTGTCTAGTCTGTTACTCTGTTTAATTTTCTTCATTGTACTTATAATTTTCTGAAATTATCTCATATTTGCTCTGCCTCTCCTGATTAACACATAAGCTCCGTAAGAGCAAGGACCTTCCCCCACCCAGCCCTGGCTTGCCCACCCTTATATCACAAGTGCCTAAAAAAGCAGTATCTGGTGCATGGCAGGGTCTGTTTAATAAATGAGTATTGTGGAACAGATATGCAAAGGAAAGGCTCTGGAAGGACACACAGCAATACGTTAGCCGTGCTGGTCTCTAGGTGGCTAGGACCACGTGTATTCTTCATATTTCACTTGTATAAATTTCTTAATTTTTTTTACCATGAACATCAATTCTTTTTGTTATAAGATATTAATACTATAAAAACAATTAAATAATAAATTATTAATATGAAAATTTTCATACTTTAGTATTTTGTTTTGTCTCAATTTTCAATAATTTTCGATCAATTATCCTCATTATTCTTGTTAAACATTACACCGCAAATTGGTCAAAAATGGATGTTTTCAGTTTGCACTTATACTTCTTTGTACATACTTTATATAGTATTTTACACATAATGCAAATATCATTTTGAATCAAGCATAAATTTCCAAATTATTTTTTTACTGCTAAATAATTAGGCCACTTCCAATTAATCCCCTATGGCTGAACATTTAGGTTTTTTCCAAACTTCTTGCAATTTATTAGCATATTTGAAGCCAAAGATGTGTATAAGATTATGCTGGAAAGAAACCAGCTTATACAGAAAGGCGGAGGACAAAACTCTGGGGAAGACCCTGGTTATGGGAGAGGGAAGAAGGAAGTTCCTCACAGAAGAGTCCCAGGTGCCGTGAGAATCCTACTTCTGTCCTGGGTACAGGTCAGGGTACTGGCCCTCAGGGGACTCTCTCACGCTCGCTCTGAATTTCACACTGAATTGGGCAACCATCTGGTTCCACTGTGACAGTTTTCTTCCTTTCTCTCTTTTTTCTTTGCCACAGAGGAATACAAATAAAATGACTCATTTAAGGTCAAACAGAACAAACTTAGGAAAGCAAATCTAACAGTTGAATAGAGCACCTCAAGGCCAAATGCATTTTTAGAGTTGAGGGTTAAACTGGCTCCCCACAAAGCTTTCTGGAGCAGTTCCCCGTCTCCATATCTGCATGGATTTAAGCAGTACCTGCGAGTGCCCAGTAGGCGGTGCCCACACATTCATTCAGCAGGACAAAGGCCACCAGCGACATCCCTCCATTCATCATGCCCACCAGGAAGCGAGTTATTGCAAAGAACTCATACGAGGGGGAAAATCCATTTGCAATAGCAAATAAGATGTCAAGAGCAAAACCTAGAAAGAGAGGAACAGTATTCAGTAATCCAGAGGCAAAATAGCATTTGATGAAAGTAATAAATTATATTCATTAGTTTGTAAAGATAAATCTTTGTAAACTTAAATTTTCTGTTTTTTTCTTTAACAGTTTCTCTTAAAAACTATAAAGAAAAACTGAGTTTTCCTTCTTTGTTACAAGTTGATTTCTGTCAATCATGCACAGTGTTCAATTATTCACAATAATACTGGAAATTAAAAAGTCCTAGCTTATACTCAGCTTGTCAAGAGAATCACGCTGAGTCCCACAGACATCATTTGAAATTAATCAACACATAAGACATAAGGATAGCGATCTAGTAGACTGTCTCAATCTTTGTTCTCCTTAGAAACATGGCATAAACTAGAATTTGGGGGTGCAGAAAGCACATCATCAATGAAAAGCTTACACTGCAAATACCTGGCCTCGCCAGGTATGCTGGTCACTTTAGAATGCTTAGCCAGAAGCAACTCTGCTGCGTTTTGGCCTCTTGCCAGTGGAATAAAAATCAGTTCTGTGTCCACAGGGCAATTCCCTGAGAACCTTAGGAAACAGTCCCCTTATTACTGCCCTGAGGACCTCAGGGAAATAAGTCCTCTTATTCAGTTCATGAACACTCTAATAGATTACCTGTGAGATAGACTTTTTTCCTTCCAAAGCGATCTGAAAGCTGACCAAAGGAGATAACTCCCACAAACACACCACTGAAGAAGCAAGAGCTTGCTGCACTGACTTTGTAAGATCTGTTGGCAATTAAAAACCACTAGAGGAAGAAAAAACAAAAGAGAGATATTTAGGTCACAGAAAGGATGGACGGATTGAGTTAGCTATTAAAAAGACAAATGTACAACAAAAACTTGTCCACTGGAACTTCTCCACTGCATTACCCACCATTAACCAGAATTCAGTAGAGCATCCTTCTTGGACAACATCCAAGAAGACTTTGTCTTCAGAAACACTAGAAATCATTATTATTATAATGTGCTCCCATAGTATTCTGTACACATCTTATTACAGCACAGAACACAGTATACAATAACTAACTATTTACCTATCTGTTGACTATATCCCTCATCTTAAACCCCTATGTTTCTAGAAATGAAGAGCCGCGTCCCATTAATTTCCGTTTCTCTGATGCCTCACATACTACATGACATATATGAGGCAATAAATGAGCAGCTCTTTTCTCCAATTGATTAATGGGTTTAAAATCCCTTGAGTACTTTTCTCAAAAAATTAAAGATACAATTACCATATGATCCAGTAATTCCACTTCTGGGTATATACACCACAGAACTGAAAGCAGGGATTCAAACAGATATGTTTACACTAATGTTCATAGCAGCATCATTCACAGTAGCCAAAAGGTGGAACCAATTCAAATGTCCATTGACAGATGAATGGACAAACAAAATGTGGTATATATATGCAATGGAATATTATACAGCCTTCAAAAAATATGAAATTCTAACAAGCTACAACATGGATGAAACTTGAGGACATTATGCTAAGTGAAATAAGCAGACAAAAAGGGACAAATATTGCATGATTCCATTTATGAGTGTGACATTGTGATTTATAACAATAAATATATATTTGGTCTTCATCCACTGTTCCTGACACATAGCTCCTGAAACCCTTGTAATATCCTATACAAGAGCCTTAGTGAGTCTTTTGTTATAATATTAAGTTTTGTTCCCAGTTCCTGAAATAGCTTCAGAGCAATAAAGGTGAAATGGGTGTCTTGTTTTACTTATAACACACTCCTTTCAACTATACCTGAGATTATGCTAATGAGGTGACTTTTGGAAAGCCCCTTAGATGGGCGCTGGTTGCCAGGGGAACCAACCGCATTATTAGAGGGTTAGAACTTTCAGTCCCACTCCCTAGGCCTCTAAGGAGGGAGGGGGGGACTGGAGGTTGATTCAGTCACCAATGGGCAATGATTTAATCAATCATGCTTATGTAATGACGCCTCCAAGAAAACCCCAAAAGGACAGGATTCAGAGAGCTTCCAGGCTGATGAGCATGTGGAGGTGCTGGGAGGGTGGCATGCCCAGAAAGCGCATGGAAGCTCTGTGCCCTTTCTCACATGCCCTGCCCTATGCATTTCTTCCAACTGGTTGTTCCCGAGTTACATCCTTTTATAACAAACCAGTGATGTAGTAAGTAAAATGCTTTCCTGAGTTCTGTGAGCTGCTCTAGCATATTAATCTAATCCGAGGAGGAGATCACAGGAATCTCTGATTTATAGGTGGTCGATCGGAAGCACAGGAAACAACCTGGACTTGGATTGGTGTCTGAAGGGGGTGGCAGGGCCAGTCTTGTGGGACTTAACCTGTGGGATCTAATGCTAAGTGTAATCTAGACTATCCAGGTAGATAGTGTCAGAACTGAATTGAATTGTAGGACACTCAGCTGGTGCGGCAGAATTGCTTGATGTGGGAACCCCCATCCCCCCACCACTCCCACACACATTTAGTAGCCAGAAATATCAGAAATAAAGTAGTTGACAGTCGAGAAGACACAGGAGGAGTGTTTTTCCTTTACCTGGAATAGTTAAATCCAGAGACACAGAAAATAGAATAGTGGTTACCAGGGGCTCGGGGAAGGAAGAATTAGTGTTTAATTAACACTAATTTTTGGGACGATGAAAAAGTTCTGCAGGTGGATAGTGGTGATGGCTGTATAGTGCAAATGTACTTAATGCCACTGTACTATACACTTAAAACGGTTAAAATGATATATTTTATGTTATGTATATTTTACCTTAATGAAAAAAAACAATCCTGGGGCCGGCCTGGTGGCATAGTGGTTAAACTCACATGCTCTGCTTCAGCGGCCCAGGGTTCGCCGGTTTGGATCCCAGGCACAGACTGAGGCACCACTTGTCAAGCCACGCTGTGGCGGCATCCCATGTAAAGTAGAAAAATATGCGCACGGATGTTAGCCCAGGGCCACTCTTCTTCAGTAAAAAGAGGAGGATTGGCATCAGATGTTAGCTCAGGGCTAATCTTCCTCACAAACACAAAACAAAAAATCCCTTGAGTCACTATTATCTTCTACTTTAGGGAAACTTATGAACTTAAAGAGAAAGCAATCATCCTCTGCTTAAAATGCCATTACCTAAAGCCCTGTCTAGTGATGTGTTAACGCGATCTTTGGTTATACAGATAAGTCAACCTGTGTCGCAGAGGTAACCTCAGAGAACCACGAGAATGCTCATCTTTCCCCTTTGCAGCCCCTGTCCTAGAGTCTGCGAAGACAGGTCTATTAAGAGCCTCTTCTGGAGAACACGTAAGGAGGCACCCCTCTTGGTTGCCCCTTCTCCATCTTTTAGACCCTCCCTTCCCCTGCTTTGACAACCAGTCGTTATGGCCCAAAGTACATGTAACTTCTCTCCTTCTCTTGTAATTCCTGTAATAATGAATTGATAAAGATCTTGATAAGATGGCTTATGGACATCTTTATGCAAAAAACAAAAATTCAGGCATTGGAAAATAAATAAGGTAATGCCCCTCACTAATGCTGTGCTTTACTTCTAAATTCTCCCATTCTTCACAGACAATTCTTAACAAAGTTAATTAACTGGTTTTCCTAGCCCTGTCTGGATTAGAAATAGTAAACTAGGGTGTCACTGCCCTTAGAAATAGTAATCAGGAAGTTACTGCTCTTTTCTGCAGTCATAATTTAAATAAGAGAAAGTGATAGAAGTGACATGACAAAAAACTGAAACATCTTCCAGACATTTTTGCATTCGAGTATTCAATGAATACTTTGATTAGTTTCTACTAGAGGTTGACAACTATTCTAAACCCTGGGAATAGAGATGTGAAGGAGCTAGACGGGGTCCCTGCCCTCATGGAGTATAAGTTCCAGTGTACACTCCTCATGGAGTATAAGATAGGCATTAAACAAGTAAACAAAGAGTGAGAGACTGGGAGGGAACCTCTTTCAATAAGGTTTTTAGGCAAGGCTTCTCTGGGGAGGTGACATTGTGACCTGAATGATGAGAAGTGACGAACCCTGAAACGCTGTTCAGGGAACATGACAATAAGTGCAGCGGCCCTCAGGTGAAGACACACCAGTGTGGCTCCAGTGGGGTGGTATGAAATGAGGCCACAGAGGTGGGTGGGCATCAGATCATGCAGGGCCCTGGGCCATGGTAAGGAGCTGGGATTTTATTCTAGTGCAAAGGGAAGACACTGAATTACTGGATTTATGTTTCTAAAGATCACTCTGGCCACTCTTAGAGAATGCATTACAACAGGAAAAAGGAGGAGCATGGAGGCTACTGCAATAGTTCAGGAGATAATGGTGGCTTGGACGAGGGTGGAAGCAATGGTGATGAAATTTCATGGATTTGGGACGTATTTTGAAGGCAGAACTGGAAGGACTTGCTGACGAATGAGATGTGGAGGGTAGGAGAGAAAGAGAGAGTCAGGGATTTCTCCTAAGTTTTTAACTTTAGCCACTCAGGGGATGGTGGTGACATTTATTGAGATGGAGTGGGTTGTGAGGGGGTATCAGGTAAGTGGTGGGAAAGGAAGAGTTCTGTTTAGACATGCAGAGGTTGAGATGCCTATAAAACATCCACCTGGAGGTGCCCAGCAAGCATTCGGATGTGAGTCATCAACTCAAGGGAGAGGACATGAGGGTTTATGAACCTATAGATAGGGAAGAAGGCTCAGCACAGGGGCCCAGGACACGTCCACATTCAGAGGCTGAGTAGAAGAGAATCATTACAGAAGACTCACAGGTAGGAGTCAGAGAGAAAGCAAGAAAAGGGGAGTGTGGTGTTGCAAACACTACGAGAGGAAATTTGATTCAGGGAGGAAGGGGTGGTCAAGCATGTCGAATGCTGCTTTAGAGGTCAGTGAGATGAGGACAGAGACGTGCAGCTATATTTGGAAACAAAAAGGACACTTAAGAATCGCAGTTTCAGTAGAGTGTGAATGGAAGCCAGATTGGACAAGGCTGAAGAAATAGAGGAGGTTGAGTAATTGCAGGCAGCAGATGCATCCAAAGTGGCTTCCATAAGTTTTGCTGTGAAGAAGAGCCAAGAAATGGGACAGTATTTGGACAGGTAGGGGAGGTCAAAGATTATTGGCATGTTTTTTAACGTGTGCGCATGTTGATGAAAGCCATCCAGTAGAGAAGATACCCTTGCAGGAGAAAAGTGCTTGGGAAAGCAAGAAGGGATGGGCTTGAGTGTACAAAGTAGGGAGGTTAGCCTTTCATAGAAGCAAGGAGATGCCATTGCAAAAGGGAGGAGGGCAGAATGTGGGTTCAGAAGCAGGCAGTGAGGGAACTCCTATCTGATTGCTTCATTTCTTTTTCATTGAACTATCAAGTGAGGTCAACTGCTGAAGGGAGGGGAAGTAGAGGTGGAGGCAGAAACCTAAGGAGGAAGATGACAGATAGGCTCTGAGGAGTGGGACATGGTCCATTCAGGGGAAATGTCGCAGCACCACCAGGCCATGCTGAACGTGCACAGGAGCTCTGCAGTGATCAACTTGATGAGGAGGAGGCAGGGAGTTAAGCTTACAGAGACTTGGGGATTTCTCAGGAGTACCACAGAGGGGAGAGGCACCAGGGAGATACGGGGATTTGCAAAGGAGTGATTATTATAATAAAGGAATATATGCTAGTGAAGGAGAAAAAGGAGACATAAGGGGGATGGTGGGCAGTGAAACAATGTCACCATCAGGAAAAGCCCTCATATCCTTAACTTCTCTGTACTTTCCATTCTTGACTCAGTTG